GAGGCGGGCAAGGAGCCCGACTCTTTCCAGAGGAGCACTTGGCTTTCGGTCCGCGCGAGCAACCGGCTCACCGTAATCCACAAACTGGACGTCGGACGCCGTCGTCTGACAGCCCAGCACGTCGCTGCCCATCAGCAGGAGGATGATGCTGCGGAAGAGCTTGTGGGCTTCGGCGAGAGCCGTCTCGGGCGTCTTCCACCCTGTACGAGGGCGGTCGTGGGTATCAGCACAAACCAAGACTCTCCCCCAGCCCCAGCACAGAGCAACTCCCCCAGATTCCCTCTCCTCGGCCCAAACGGGCTGGTTTGGAGAGACCCAGAGGTGAAACGTTTGCACGTTGCTTCGCCCACCAACCCCTGTCAGCCTGGTGCTCACCAGGAGGGTTTTAAACATCCCCCGGCAACTCACCTTGCACAAAGATGCACTGCCGGAGCTCCAGTGAGAGGCAGGCAGGGGGGAGGCTTAGGTAGACGGTCACCAGCTGAAGGACGTGGGCTCGCAGCAGGTACCAGACCTTGGTGATTTTTTGCAGAGCTGGGTTCTGGAGCACCCCCAGCAGCATGGTGAGACCCTCTTCAATCTGCAGAGGGAGAAAGAGTCACCATTCGTGGTCCAGGGTGATTCCATGCCCAAGGTCCCTAGCGAGAGGTATTCAGATAGCCAGACAGAGCTGCTGCAGTCTCCCCTTGCCCTCTGACACTACTTCTGAGGCAGAAAAGGGGTTTAGGAGCCTTACCCGGCGGTTGACGCAGCACAGCTGGCTGCGGAGCAGGAGGCAGGTTTGCTGCAGCAGCAGGTAGGAATCGTCGCTGCTGTCGGCTTTCTGCAGGCAGGATTCTGTCTCCTCCAGGAAAAGCTGGAAACCAGCGGGCCGGCGTGAGGGCTGCAGCCTCGGGGATCGGCCCAGCTCGCCCCGCAGCCCCTTCCCTCCCTGCCAGACTTACCTGGGCATAGCTGGGGCACTCCAGCTGGAAGAGCAGCTTGGTGACCTGGCACAGGGCGCCGGCCGTGCCCAGGCTGTCCCCGAGTGCGCTGCACAGGGCTCTGACCAGGAGGTAGCTCTCCATGGCTTGCAAGGGCTGGGGGCAGGAAAAACCCCACCGTCACACTCAGAGACCACCTCAGAGGGACTGTGTGTGTCTGGGGAGGCTGCCGTCCCGCCGGCCACCTCCCCACCAGCGTTACCTTGGCCAATCAGCTTGTACAGAGCTGCCAGGAGCTGCAGGGAGGCTACAGTCTGCTCGGGGCTTCACACGGCCGGGATGCCCAGTGTCGCCAGGAGCTGCTTCCACAAGGCGAAGGCATCATCCAGGCTTTTGGACAGAGCTGAGGGCACACCACGGTCTGAGACACCCTGACCTGAAACCAGGCGCTCCCGGAGAGCCTCTTCACGAAGGGCCCAAACCCGCCAGCATCCTCACCGGTCTCTGTCGCCAGGTTGAAGGAGATGCCGTCGTACAGGAACCTGTCCTCCAGCAGCCTGCCTTCGTAGTTGAGGTCGTTGGGCTCAAAGTCGTCCAGGTTCTTCAGCCCCTGAGCTTTGGCTCTCTGGACCCTCTCTATGCTCTGCAGCCGGGGAGAAGGCAGCGGCAACGCACGTTAAGAGACACCACGGGGTTTCCAGCGGGGTCTGAGTGGCTTTTGGTTGCCCCAGTGCAGAGCTGAGCCTTGCCAGCAAGGCTGAGGAGGGCACCCGACACGTGCATGGAGCCCCATGGTGTTTCCACATCAGGACCTGTTTTGGCATCCCACAGCCCCCCTCCGCCGCCGCCCCCACCCACCTTCTCCAGCTTGGACTCCAAGGTGCAGATATAGAGCCAGAGCAGAGCCTGCGCCTGGTCATCGAGGAGCCGGTCCCGGTTCTGGGAGTTCCTGGGTACCAACTCCAGCAGCCGCAAGGCTTCCCGGACCGAGTCCAGGGAGGAGCTGCCGGAGAGAGGGATTAGAAACAGCCTTCTGCCCCCAAAACCCCTGGAGCATCTTAAGGGGAGGAACAGACATACCACAGGACCCCAAACAGAGCAAACAGCCAGAGCAATAACACTCCAGATCCTTAAAACTGCCCCTGAGGACCCTCAAATGCTCCTTGGGGACCTTCAGGGACACAGGGAGGTGATCCTGGCATCCACCCACCAGTCCATCTGCTGGGCGTAGCTGTGGTAGCACAAGACCTGGGCCAGCTCCGTCAAGCCGATAGCTCGCTCATGCAGGCGGCCGCTCTCCTCCGAGCAGATCTCCAGCAGGTCGCAGAGGACGTTGTAGCGTTCCTGCCCCGTGTCGGCTCGGACGGTCTTGTAGGCCTTCAGCTCCGCAAAGAGGACGGTCACCAAGGTCTCCGCGTCCAGGCTGTGCCCCTCCAAGCCTTCCTTCAGGGTCCTGTGGGAAATGGGAGCTGTAACGGGGGGCGGGGGGACGGGGACTCTGCACAGAGCGCAGTGGAGCCAGGCATGTCTCACAGGGAGAAATGTCCTCATTAGGGAAGTGATCGTGCCCCTGTACTCAGCACTGGTGAGGCCGCACCTCGAATACTGTGTTCAGTTTTGGGCCCCTCACTACAGGAAGGATGTTGAGATGTTGGAACGTGTCCAGAGAAGGGCAACGAGGCTGGTGAGGGGTCTGGAGAACAAGTCTGATGAGGAGCGGCTGAGGGAGCTGGGGTTGTTCAGCCTGGAGAAAAGGAGGCTGAGGGGAGACCTCATTGCTCTCTACAACTACCTGAAAGGAGGTTGTAGCGAGGTGGGTGTTGGTCTCTTCTCCCAAGTAACTGGCAAAAGGACGAGAGGAAATGGCCTCAAGTTGCGCCAGGGGAGGTTTAGATTGGATGTAAGGAAAAATTTCTTTACTGAAAGAGTGGTTAAACATTGGCACAGGCTGCCCAGGGAAGTGGTGGAGTCCCCATCCCTGGAGGTATTTAAAAGACGGGTAGATGAGGCGCTTAGGGACATGGTTTAGTGGGCTTGGTGGTGTTGGGTTGACGGTTGGACTCGATGATCTCAGAGGTCTTTTCCAACCTTTATGATTCTACAATTCTATGATTCATTTTACCAGCTTGGGAACCGTGGCTCTCAAGACATCCACCCTCCACGCACCGGGCAGCCTTCCAGGTCTTACCGTAACCGTAACTCCTCGGCCCCCTGTTTCGCAGCATCTGTTTTGACTCTGGTCCAGAGGGAGACGGGCTCTGCCAGCAGCTCCCCGATCCGGCCCCGCAGCGCGGCCAGCCACAGCACCACGCACGCCAGGGCTCTCTCCAGCTGCCCCAGCTTGCGGTGGCTTTCCACCTGCAGCCTGAAGCATTTGTGCAGCTGCGGGGAGAGCACAGAGAACCAGCTTCAGCACCCTGTGGGAGCAAACTCCCTGCGCCTCCCACGTCCCATACCACAGCCCCCTTTCCCCACCCGGGCGAAGGGAAGACCTCGGAGCAGGGAATTGGGGTTGTTCCAGGAGCAAAAGTTGGTCCCATCCTCTCCTTTGCTCCCCTGGCACCAGGATCAGACCGTTCAGTTCAGCCCCGTTTGCGCCAGAAGCGTCAGAGAAGCGCTCACCCTCTCCGGGGGTATCTCTGGACACGCATAGGCATCTGCTGTCTCCAGCCTCTTGCAGAAGAGCTCGCAGACGGAGCTGGCCTCCTCGTGAAGGTTCTGGTTGTAGAAGAGGTAGGCCAGCTTGAACGTGCACGACACTGCCACAAGTGAAACCCAAATATTAAAGATGTGACGGAGAGAGAACACGA